TTACATATAAATATTATTTTTGCTTATATATTTATAATTTTAAATGATTTTTAAGATACTTAAATTTAATTAAAAATGATAAATCTTATCATGGCTTTGGCTTTCGTTAGTAGCTCTACAAGACTTTTGATGTTCATATATAATTATTTTAATCTGATGACATACAAGCATATGTTACTGTTAATAATCTTTATATATGTATATATGCATATTATTATATATATATATATCAATTGATCTTTTCTTAATTAATTTGAGTAATTAAAGTGAGATTGCACATCTGATGATTTATGCGCTTCGAATAAATAACTTGAGTATTATCTTGAAGCATATGACCCAAATTACATTTGTCTTCGAAATTTACGAAGTATTTCAACTGACAAAAAAAAAGAAGAAAAAACATAAATTGCGTATCACGAAAAGAGGTTAATGATCTTACCGCAATATAATAACGGGAATGTTCGGAGACAGTGCTTATAATATTAAATTAATGTGCACCAGCTCGTTATATTGAATTACACTCGAAAAAAAATTTCTCAATTATTGATAATTGCACCGTCATACTGGGCTTAGGACCTTCGGCAATGCGCGACACCATATCGATAAGATCAGAGTTGGTGTGCGATCGCATCGGCTACTTTTTCGTCGAAGTTATTCATACGTAATTGCCTGTACCCACGCAGGTGCCTGTTCCGCATCATTCGATTTCCATCGATATTTGTCCCGCAGGATGTAAAACCTCCTTGTTCGCGTTGCATGCAAGCTGCTTTCTTCTCTTAAACGCCTAACGCGGGATCCACGTGATACTACTAATTGTTGTTAATTTTATTGCTAATTACTGTTAATTTTAACATCCCTGTCGACTTTGCTCTTAAATTGGAAAGTAATTGGAATTAAGATACGATTGAGGACTTTTTGCATAAATGTTGAATTGAATGATATTGACTTACGAATTTATGATATTTTTTGTTGCAATATATATATTAAAGAATATAGTCACTATGATTCAGATAAATAAGGAAATAAAATTAATATTTATATTGATATTCAAAATAATTTGTTTAATTTTGTCAAGTACTAAATTATGAAAAGCATTAAAAAAATTTGAATCTTAAATAATAAGATATTAAATTATATATTATTGAATTAATAATAATTGAAAAAAGGCATTTTGTGTCTTCTTAATCTTGATTACTTCAAATATCTTGATTACTTCAAATATCTTAATCTAACGTTATTATCTCTCTCTCTCTTTCTCTCTCTCTCTCTCTCTCTCTCTCTCTATCTTTGCTGAACTTTTTTCATTTATGTCAAAAGATCTAAAAAGACCAGTTGTGGATTGCGACAATGGACAATAGCGCAATAATCTACAATAGAGATCCACCTGGAGATTTCATGTCGAATAAATAGGGTCCGTAGGACAATCATCTCGTAAACTCGGCTTCCTTACGTGCCCTTCTCATCCACCTCGTGGATTGTTCTTTTTATGCTCTGTTTCACGTTTCGTAGCTCTCTGCACGGAGCGGCATTTGAATCGCCTACTTATACGAGAGTGTCGAGCAAGAAGAAAGCTTTTCGTTCGGTTTTATGTAGAATAGTTTCACCTGAACGATAAAGTATTACAAGATTGTAAGTACCATTTGGTCAGTGTTTCTCACTGACTGTTTTATGTGTTTACATTTTTTATTCTTCCAAGATTAAAATCGTGTGTAAAAGCATAAATATATAATATTTTTTAGAGTAAAACATGAAATGCGCGATATAATTATTCCTCTTGTGTATCTACTCACGTAATCAGGTAATTTTTTAAGCATTTTCTATTCTCACATCAAGTCTTGAAGATCTCGTACATTCCGTGGTTTTCTGGAAAAACAGCGTTGATATAACGAAGTGCGCAAACGTTGTAACATATTCTCGGTGTCTAGTAATAAATTCCTGCCATAGTTAAAACACCGCTTATGTACAGGTATTCTGAATGCTGGTACGGTAAAAGCTTGTTGTAGCTTTCGCTTAGTGACTTGATCACGTAGGTTGCTTAGTGAAATGCAATATTGATTTCTACTTCTTTTTTTGTTGTACATAAATTATGTATAAATATTTAAATAGTTTATTGTATAATAGATTTCGTCTATTAACGATCAATCTGACAGTCAATAAGTAATAAAAGTAATCCCAATAAAAGTAATTATTCGAAATATTTATTTTACATTAAAATATCATTATAATTTATAACTTCAAATTTATGATACTATTGATCTAGCGTATTGCAATATTTTTAGTATATATTTTATATTATTATACATATACACACACACACACACATACACACACACACACACACACACACACACACATATATATATACATATATATATATAAAGTACTATAATCTTTATAATAAAATTTCTATTTTAAAATAATACAAAAATATAATATTTTTTTATACAACAAATATATTTAGATATCAAGAAATCATACATTTAAAAATCAAAATTAAAGTTTAATAATTCTCTATTTTATTAATAATTGCATCACATTATGATTTATGTTTCGCAATTTTGTCAAATAAAGAACTAATCGCGGATTTGCGGCTAATCAATTATCCTTCAACATTTGTCGATAATTTATGTTGCAACATAATATTATATAATACATAAAGACTATTCGTTTTTTATATGATGATAATTAATAATATACGCTCTATGGTGCACGCGACACATCGGTGTGTCTTGGCACATATGAGAGTATGATACATGCGGAGATTATGGCATGGACTAGACCTGGCTACAAATTAACCGACATTTCACTTGCCAGACTTTTTCGCGGTTGTCTCTTACCTACAGTTTCTTTCCCCGCGTAGCTTTAACGGTCCTCCACCTTTCTCCTCATCAACCGTTCATTCCTATCGTCCCACTTCCTCATATCTCGAATAACTTCAGCTAAATTGCAATAAAAGCGACATCGTCGACAGATCTAACAGATCTGTCTAATAAACCTTAGGAATGATATAACATTATTTCATGATACTTAAACAAAATCTTTCGTTTTCCTATAGAATCCTTTTTTATGAGAATATTAATATGACATTATGATGATACGATTTACTTACATAAATTATTTCGATGTAGAAATTTTTTATCAATATATTAATGTTTTAAATTAATATTGAGAAAGAGTAAACTGCTGTAGTATATAATTAGACAATATTTGGAATGCCTTTTGCATTTTTAAGTATTTTTCTTGTAGAAAATGATTTGTCCTTTGCAGAAATATTGCGCTTTGTTTCCTTAAATTTAAAAAATAAAGAGGTACATTAATTGATAGAGTTTTAAAATGTATTTTTTTTAATGTTCAACATTGAATATACATATGAACTTCGAGTATACGTACGTGTTTAATTACTTCATGATGTTTATTATTATCTTATCAGCTAGAAATAGGCATGCTTTTAATATTGGCAGAATTGTGATATTGACATATCACATGTTTACTTCTAATTGTGAGATCCGGACAAAAAAATTGATTGCATTGAAGGCTCCCTCTCAATCGGAGAGAGATCTTTAAACGTTACGCAAAACGGTTAATTTCAGTGAAGGTTATTTAGAATTAACATAAATCCTTCGCATAGAGCAATTCGAAGGCGTCGCCGATCGCGGCTCGATAACATACGGCTCACAGAGATTACGTTAATTTGCATCTCAACACGAGGTCGCGACATTCCTAGGTGAGCGTTAGAGATCCAATCCAAGGCGTCCAATCGGTAGCCTTGATTTCAGTTGCACCCAATAGTCGGTGATGGTACATCATTTTCAGAAAGAGGTGGCCCAACTGGCATCAGAGTAGGAGGACAGAAAGTGCTAGTAGTGGGAGAAAATCGTAGTGGATGGCGAATGCAATCGTCAGCCATCGCGCCTTCTTTTCTGCAAAAGAGAAGGGGCGATTAGAATAATAATATTGTTACATTGCAAGAATGATATCAGCGATAATAAAATAGCGGATAAAACAGGCAAACATCTTTCAACTCACTGTCCTAATTTTTATTTTTTGCCAGTAGTGTAAGTGGAATATTTTTCCAGTATTTTCTTATCTAATTTTGATGTGACACTTTATATTGTATAATATATAGTACTACATATTTTTTATTTTATTTTTATTTAATAAAAATTTAGCTGTTTCTATCAGATTTATAGAATGCATAGATAATGCATAGATATATAATATAATAATATTAATAAATAATTGGAAATAAATCATAATTCGTTATAGTTGCGCTAGATTTTGTTATCAATTTATATATTTCTAAATATATATTTTATATATATTTAGTCCATTTTTATTTTAAGCTCATCTTAAATAATATTTATTATATAATATATAAGATGCTAATACATACGATTCTCTGATTAGTTTAGTTCTCAAGACTATATTTAAGATGATTTTAAAATATAAGACTCAACTATGAACATCGCGCTAAGTTTCTAAAAACTTAATTTCTAATTAATTTCTAAAATAAAAAAATTATTCACACACCTTTTGATATTGAAGCAAATATTTTTAATGTGTTTTTTATGATATCTATACATGAAAGTGTGATATGTCTTTAAATTTTGTATGAGAATTTATCAGAATTGTTAAAAAATATGCGATTAAATTAGTAGTCAAATTTATTGTACGTAGCAATGCTTATACTTGCCAGAAAATTGAACAACGAAAATTATTTTATTAATATTATACAAACTCTACTAAGAATCGAAAAAAATTATAGCTGAAAATCTTGATTTGTAATCCGATACCGTGAGATAATAAATCATAAGTTTAGAGAGAACCTGAAGTGATGATAGGACAGGTCAGGGCCGAAAAGGTTTAGCGGCAAAGGTGGCAAACGAGACTGAAGTCGCAGGAGCGTGGGTGCCGGCTGACATATCACGATCGTCGCCAGGTTGCTCCATATATATATATACATATACACATACACACATATATGTATATAGATATATATGTCGGCGATTCTCGACTAAAAGAACAAAAAGGGGCCGCCACTTGCATAGACCAATCGCGAGCGTGGTTGGCGCACGATTCGACCTCAGAAATTAGCATCGACTCCGCAAAGATCGAGTCTCGATCCTCCTATTCCCTTCCTTTATGTCCACCTTTCCCTTTTCGTCCTTCTTCGTCGCTAATTGATTCGTTAAGGTTACTCCTTAGTAAACTGTTAAATATGCTGTATAGGACTTCCCAACTTGTGTAGATCGCGACCCACTTTTTAAAATGGCAAACATTCGCAATCCATCTAGCTTTAGTAAATATAAGAAGGTGTACGATATGTAAATTAATTATTTATACGTTATTTAATTATTTACGTTATTTATATCACTATATACTGTTTCTATTTTTTTTTATTATTTATTAAATATAATCTTATAGATCTATTTTACCGATCTATACGGAGAAACAAATGCTATTGATTCAATTAGTCTATATTAGGGGCTGTCACTAACATAAATAATTAATTCATGTATATTTTTATTGACATAAAGGTTTGATTATTGAAATAATAATTTATGCCTTTATGTCAATAAAAATATACATGAATTAATCACTTATGTTAGTGATAGCCTGTAATAATATAGACTTTTATTGAATCAACAATATTTTTTTCTCAGTATAGAAGTATGTCTGAGGAATGCTCTTGTTTCCTATTTCTGTTGATTCCTTCGACATCAACGTAAATTGATTTTGATGCAACGAGTTTGATAATGATAGTCTATATCGAAAGGTGTTGATCTCCTACCATTGTTCAGAATCCAATTTCATACAAAATTTGGAAGAAATATATGCGCACGCAAGTTTGTATAAAAATAACGAAGTATAATTTAACATTCTAAATTTTTTGTAATCTATTAACAAATTGGCTCGCAATCTATTAGTGATCGCGACCCAAATATAATCTTATTTTGAGAATTTGCTGTAAAACTATGTTTCTCAATTGTTCTGATTTCGCGAGACGGTTATATAACACATAAAACATAACTAGTAAATGTACTAATAAATATACTAATTATTACTATTATTACTATTTAAGTGTACAGCTTTAATATACAATTTTAAATAATGTTGCGATATTATTAAGAAGTTGTATTTTCAATGTTAGTTATTTATTTGAATTTATAGTTAACTTGGTTAATTTAATTTATATCAATGTATTTGATCATTGTCACTTAAAATTAGAAATAAAAAAAAGATGTAAAGGGGACGACGTATTTAAAAAAATAATTATATACCTTGTTTTGATCGTAAACATATGGTTAATTAGCAAACTTTAATAAATCTCTAATGAATACCGTAACCAATCAGTTTTAAACACATGTTCAAGAGTATTTATTTTTAACAATAATATTAACGCTAATGATATTAACGTCAAGAACGTTTTCTTAAATATGTGTGTAAAATCGATTGGTTACGGTGTTCATTAAAGATTTATTGAAGTTTGCTAATTAATCATGTGTTTAAACAACTTCATCAACGAGTTGCCTCGCACGCGAAAAAGCCAACTATAAATGAAATTGATGTAGTAACATGAATAACAATTAGAGCAAGATCTAATGGAATTTTTTAGATTATTAGATACGAACAAGCGTTTACTTAATCGGAAATCTATTAAATTGAAATTTCATAATAACCGTATATATAGTATTCCATGACACTCCTTTATAGAGAAATGTCGACTAATTACGTTATCAATAAGCTATGCAATTACTATGCAGTTATTCTTACTATGAATACTCATGGACTATTGTCATATGAATTAATCATTATATTGTACTATCTCAAGATTTCATTAAGCTTCTGAAAATTTTAAAACATTTCTAATCTTTGTATTATGAATTAAACATAAGATTTTTTACTAGTAATAAAAAAATAAAATTATTGTATTTACTTTTTTGTATGTTATAACATTATATATATTTTTATTTTATTTGTGTAAATTTTTACGATTTATAGTTTATTACAATTTTTCTAATTAATTGCGTATGAAGAAGTAGTATTACAAAAACAGCTTTATTAAAATTTTATTTCATTATTAAAAATATTGATACTGAGAGTATAAGTGAGTATTTATAGAACTGTAGGGAACTCGGTTCGCGTTTAAGGCAATGCCTGTAACAGGCATACAATGAATGTGAGTACGCGAAAATATGCAGAACGTGCAGAAGACACAACGTATACTGCAATCGTGGTTACACGAAGAATCACACGAGGTTCTCTCGAATTTAAAACAAATGCCAACATTTAACCATTGCTATACACGTTATGCTTAAGTTCTCGTATGCATTATTTTATACATATTATTCTGATGCCGAGTAATTATCTCTAATATAGAAAATAATATACGAGAATCTCGTTGGATCTGACATATTGCACAAATACGTAAAAGATGAAAAAAGAAAGAAAATGATATGCTTGCAATAAAATAATATAACATCGAATAATATACATCGTACAAAATAAATACGCAGTATAATTCTTTTGATATAATTATGTTTTTATGTTTTTATAAAAAAAGTTATAATACTTTTATATTAACTGCTGATATGGCTGTTAGTGGTAGTTAATAATTTGAAATAAATATTATAAAAACATGTATTATTAGGTATTATTAATCATTGGTGTATTGTATATTTTTAAATAGTAAATTTTATTGTTATAATTTTATATAATTGAGCACAAACGTATATAATCAATAACGTATATAGTATTGACAAATGATAATACATTTATAATAACATTTTTCATTTTGATCTACATGACGATGCTAACTACGTATTAAATGAAGCTTATGCTACAAATGTAATTTAAATATAATATAATGTTAGCTTTATAAAGCTAGAGGGATCAAATCAGCAGAATCAAATTGGAATTTTGAATACTCATTTTGTACTAAATTGTACCATTAATGATAATTTTAATGATAATTTTGTATCATGTGCTATTCGGAAAAAAATCGTAGCTTAATATTAAGCTGGCAGGACTAATTCAAAATAAGAGAAAAAAAAAATAATATCAGAAATCAATAGGATTGACTTTGTACTATTTTGTACTACCAAAAACAATTCTATATTGTGTCATTTCCAAGAAAATAGTGGCACTGTTAGTTTAATATTTAAGCTAGCAGAACCATAACAAAATAACACAAGGGTAAAAATTAACACAATGAATTTGTACTGATTTATCATTATCATTGAAAGTAAGTTAATATTTTCTCTTTAAAATGACTGTTAGTATATACTTGCTATGAGGCATTCCACGTCAAATCGGACATCTTTGAAACATCGTCATTTTATTTTTTTTTAATTTGCTAACATATTCTACAGATAAAAATATGAGACATATGTTTCGCGAAAAAAATGTGACATCTTTTTTTGTGACGCAGATAAGTTGCAGAAATTTATAGAAAACGTCGCGAACATTCAAATTATTACATCGAAACTATTAGTCGTACAAAAAATGCAAGAGATCGATTCTAAAGATCGTAAATTGTTCTATAGATGAGTAATTTTTAATTTACCATTTTTATATAAATAAATCATTTTCCATTTGTTTACAATTTTTATCAATATTTTTCATCATCGACTCACCAATTTAAAAATTTTTGTAAAAATATTATATTTCCATTTCAATTATGAAGCAATCCTGAAAATTTCAAATGGAACTCGAATAGACTATAGTTGAAAAATTCGAGTTCCATTTGAAATTTTCAGGATTGCTTCATAATTGAAATGGAAATATAATATTTTTACAAAAATTTTTAAATTGGTGAGTCGATGATGAAAAATATGGATAAAAATTGTAAACAAATGGAAAATGATTTATTTATATGAAAATGCTAAATTAAAAATAATCATCCATAGAACAATTCAAGATCTTTAAAATCGGACTTTTAATCCCGGAAAATTTTGCATTTTTTTGTACGACTAATGTAAAATTTTTTCGACGATATAATAATTTGAATGTTCATATGAGTGATGTTTTATGAACTTCTGCAACTTACAAGCGGCAATAATTTAAATCACATTTTTTTCACGAAATACGTCTCATGTTTTTATCTGTTGCGTATTTTTATACGATAGTAAATTAAAAATAAAATAAAATGATGTTTTAAAGGATTTGAATGCCTCATAGATAGTAAGTATATAAATAAAGTCATTTTAAGGAGAAAACATGTAAAATATTAATTTACTTTCAATGGTACAAATTAGCACAAATTCAATTGTGTTAATTTTTATCCTTGTGTTGTTTGTTTTGTGGTCTCGTCAGCTTAAATATTAAATTAACAACGCTACTGTTTCTTTGGAAATAACATATTTAATATAGAATTGTTTTTGGCAATACAATATAACACAAATTCAATCCTATTTCTAATATTATTTTTCTTTTACTTTGAATTGATCCTGCTAGTTTAATATTAAGCTGGCATCGTCATGATTTTTATCGAAAAGGCACGGTACAAAATCATCATTAATAGTACAATTTAATACGAAATAAGTACTAAAAATTCCGATAGGTCCGATTCTGCTGATTTGGTCCTGCTAGTTTTATAGAGCTTATAATGTTGCCAAAGGCAACATGTAAAATTTGTATTACTTGCATTGCAATGGATTCTCTGTATACGTTTATCCGCTTTTAGATTCTTAAACGAAGATAAATTTTATTGCCCGAAGGTCTGATCTGGATTATGATGATGACCGTGGCGATGAGGATTGTGATCGTGACTGATGGAAAGTGCGTGCATCTGTCTCCCGAATGTACGCAATAACCAATGTACACATTGTTCAGATAATGCTGTTCGTAATAAAGAACTTACCGTTATAGAAAAAGAAAAGGTACATCGTGCACCTGACAACCTCGCACATTGCTGATTCTCTTGTTTAACACGTTTCGTACCGCGTGGGTCACCAATGACTTACGCTGGACTTTCCATTCAGATCGGGAGATGTTTGGCTATAAAAAGAAATATAATCATTAAATACTTTTCGATATCATATATGAATATATAATTACGATATATGGTGCAATAATATAATATCGTAGGTCACCGAAGATTCACGCGACATTGCGATTAGTTTTTTTATTGCGAAAATATTGTACATAATTTTAATTTTTAATTTTATGCTTCATACAAAATTATAAAAAAATGTTAACAAGTTAGGCATAAACAAAGTAAGAAATTGTACGTAAACGTTGCAACATTTTGTAGTAACTGTCTTAAGAATCCTATTTATGTTTATTCTTCTTAAACATTGACATATGTCACTAATTATAATTATCAATTAGTGACCAATTTTACGTGATTTAATTATCACACTGCATGACCGACGTAGTATGGTTATTATATTTATGAAATAAAATGTGTGTTGCATAACGATAAAACGATTACAAAAATATTATTGTAAAGAAGGTCTGCACAATGCAGAACAAAGCAAAAATACTTTTCACTATTTATTTAACTCTCAACTATGTCTCGTTTTCTTAATCAGGGGCAGATCTAGAAGTTTATCAAGGGGGGAAGGGACATTGACGTACCACAAGTGAAATTTTTTCACGGTCAAATATAAAATATTTAAATTATTATTGGTATATTACATTGAAAAGTACTAATCCGTATGTCAAAATAGTATCGATAAAAGTAAGCGAGAGGGATTATGGAAGACAACCATTTCTGTCTCTTTTTCTTGCAACGGTGTAATGGGAGAGAGAATGGGAGAGAGAATGAGAGAGAGATTGGCTGTCTTCCATGTCCTTCTCTCTCATTATTGTCGACTATATTAAAATATTACTTAGATACGGATCATGCAGTCCATTCTCTATGGGCGAGTTCAAGACGGCAAAGCGGTTAGGCATGCTTGCCAAGCGAATGAGCATAATTAGTTCTTACCTGTGGATCCAACCATTCATGTTTAATTGCTTGGCGAGCAGACTTAGCCGCCCAGCAAACGAAAATGGATTGAAATGGATTGGAAATTTTCAATTCATACGAATCCGTATTTTAAATCCATACAAATGGATTGGATTCTATATAAAAAATTTTTATATATGTAAAAGTTTAAATAAATTAAAGTAGTAATTACATGAAATTCTATAGTTATTATTTTAAAATTACAAAAGAGTACGCTGTATAATAAAAGAAACGTATTAATATAAAATATACATAAAAACGATTAATTTATTAATTAAAAATAAGGAATTTACATATATATATAAAACATTTATTGCACATATTTACGTAGTAAATTCGTTCCTTTTATTTTTAGTCTCTTTTAAATATTAAATGAAGTAAAATTCATGATACATTTTTATGGTACAACTTTTTTTTTAACTTAGTTGAATTAAAACGAAAAATTTCTTATTCATAATTTTGAATAAAATAGAATCCGTGCATTTTTAAATGAAACAATGGATTTTCTACTCACAATTTTGAATTGAATAGTATTCATGACTCATTTTAAGAAAATGGGCCATTAAAAGACAAACTTTTTTTTATTCGATTGGATTAAAAAACTGCATTTCTTATTCAGAATTTTGAATTTAGCAATATTCACAATGCACGGAAATGATTGATATTATATATATATAAAATCCATCTGGATTGAAAAACTGCATTTTCTATTCAGAGTTTTAAATTAAACAGTATTCACGATGCACACAAAATACTATAATATTATTTTTAGATTGAAAAGCATAGGAACATACTCCATGCCATTCCTATAAATGAATAAAAATGCATTCAAGATTGAGAAGGGATAGACATTTGTTTTATGCAATTCCTATAAATGAATAAAAACGCATTCAGGATTGAAAAGGATTCATTTTAACATTCATGAATTGGTATTTCTGAAAATCTGAATCCATTTTAATCCATTCGATCCATTCTCGTTTACTGAACGCTTTGTCGACTTAAACGCGGCCTATGTCTTTGGTGCCACGTGACTTATGGCTATACAATGATGACATCAATACCGAATTCTGTTCATACAGCGCGAAAATAAAACGGGCGGAAAATAAAAACTGTAGCACAGACTTCATTTATTTACTTTTTGGAATATAAAAAAGAATTTATATTTTTTACTTAGAAAATTCATAAAATAAAATAAGGTTTTACGGTATCAAAATTGTAATTAAGCATTTTAGAAATATTAAAAGTATATATAATCTTTTGCTATATTTAAAAAAAGAAAACTCTAAGGGGCCATGGTCACTTATTAAAAACGAATTTTCACTTTCGATAAAAATCTGTCGAATTTACATTTGACGGGTCCAAGCCAAACTTTTATTACATCACAACTGAATGGAAACATAATTGGAACAAGCATCAAAACAACAACGAAACTATTGCATCACAGAGAAAGGTTCCAAGTTTTTTTATCCTCTCACTTCAATACTCTGCAATATTAATTCTGCAATGTTATAAAAATAGCGGTCGACTAAAATTTTCAACAGGGTCCAAATGATCCATTCATGTAGTTGAAGGTTGATAAAATTATTTTAAAGAATTAACATTTTATATAAATGTTTATTAATAATTGTCACTAATTATAAAATGTTTATTATTAAATAATTATTAATGAATGTTTATATAAAATGTTAACTTTATGAAATAATTTTATTAAATAAATAATAAAAAGTATTTTTGCTCTGTTCTATATTTTGTATTGTACGTTAGACCTCCTTTTTTTTATAGTAATATTTCTGTAACTTTTTAACATTATATATTTTATTTTATAAATAGAATAATCGTGCTGCGTGGGTCATCGATCACGTAGGATGATAATTAAATCACGTAAAATTGATCTGGCACGGAACGTATTAATGTCTTTTAATGAGCACATGATGTTAATCTGCAAGAATCATGTATTTATTGAATCTTAGATCCGCGATAAATCATAAAAATAAAAATATATTGTTTTCAGAATCCTCAAAGTTAACGTATGTATGTATAATCATAACATTGGATAATAATTTAAGGCCATTGGATAATAATTTACAAGCCTATAATAATACATATTTTGATAACTATAGATAAAATTCAACTGTAAATTTCTTACATTTTAAATATTCATTTTTTTTTAAAGAAATTATATTTTCTTTAACTGAATCTAAATTTAACATTATATTAATATACGTAATATAATACATAGATAGTTTAGAAATGGTTCCACTTTACTAGTTATTTTTTAAATTTTCTTCCGATATAAACATACAAAATTTTACATCCATTAAAGTTAATCTAAAAAGTGCGTGTATATTATAAATAATGTATGAAAAAGAAAAAAAGAAATAAAGAAAATATTGGAAACTTGCTTGGAGCGACAATCTGTTACTTGATAGCAAGCTGACGTTGACATCTTGATGTCAAAATGAAGACAAAATAACGTCATTTTGCTACGAGAGTATCACGTCAGCGATATTCAAATTATTGTTTTCGCCACTTATATATGTATAAGCAGAGAGTATAATTATAACATAATAACCGTCCAGAACGTGGAGTGTAGACAAACTTGTCTTCTTGATTAGCTTTAGTATACATATACAAGAGTACGCGTATAATAACATTTTTACTTGTAATTGCATTCTTGTTTTGCAACCTTATGGAATTTCGTTTTATCTCACTTTATCTTCTGTGTGTTTTATGTTTTTTTTTGTACATGTATAATTTAACAAATAGATAAAAAACACTCACACATTTTACTGGGTTAGCGGAAGATAGAGTTGGCAGCTGGATAACGCGTTAATCGCGCCCGTTTAAATTTCGCAAGTCCCGTTTTTCCTTGCATTGCCGAGTTATTACGCGCCACGTTAAAGTTTCACGCCGGAACACAAATATAGAAATTGCAAAATATGAGCTGGTTTAGAGTCGGCCTCTCGTTGATTCGTCGGGAGCGCGTTTGAATACGTCACGCCACAACGGGTTTACTACCTGATTTTAAGCGAGATCTCTTTGTCATAGGCAGCCTTGCAAGGCTGATATCAAGCGGGCCGGCATATTTTAACCGACTGCAGAAAAATGTCTTCCTACTAGACCGCGAGGTAGAACCTGAGAATGTATGGCATTTGGAGCCACGTAAGTTTTAAGCGGACCCGGCAATTCTATTTTTGTTCACGTCGAATGAACCATTACCGCTTATCCACGCTCACGTGTGTCACTGTTATCGGGGGCTTGCTTAAATATTGTTTGCGCGAGAGTGTATCCGGTTTATGCTTCTATTATTTCATCAATGAGGCGTACGATAAAATGTAGTCGCCACTTTGTAATAGAACGTTGCCGGAGATTTTCTCTTTGTTAGGTAACACCGTGATAAACAATCTTTGAGTTCTTTCAAACGACCCGCAGCGGCGGCCTAAGGAGCTCGTTTTATCCTGGCATTATTATTAGACAATTAAAGAAACTAACTGCTATTTACGCCCCTCGGAATAAAATATGTATTTTCCCGAGACAATTCGCAATATCGTATACTCGTTAACGCTGCACCGACATAGCGCGGCCTCAGCGTCGTGCAGAATTACAAAGGATTAATATCTTTACGAGTTTCGCGAATAGCCGATGAAAAATATTGATTTTGTCATCATAAAATTCTCCGTGTTCTATATTTTCCTCTGAAGCAAGCGTCTCTATAGTGTCTCTACGTCGACAAGACGTCCAGGTATACGCGATGCTGCGATCCACGCAGCATCCACGGTGGTGCATTCGCGGCGACGAAATTATACGGCGGATTATCTGACGACGTGAGCGCGTGCATGGCTTTCTGCTCGGCACGGTGTTGCACTAACGGCGAATACGCGCCGGTTTTTGATCTCACCGCGACGATTTGTACCTGCGATCCTGCGTGCAAGAAGAAAGAACGCGTACCATCTCGTCGCGAGAAGAGGAAGAGAGCGAAATGGAGAACGATGCCTTCGCGGCTTCCCTTGCAGCTATGTTTCGCCGTCTCTTTTTGCTCGCATTC